GAGACCGCGTAACGGACATTTCCACGAATGCAAGCCAGAAAACCTCACCCCAAAACTTACCCGTCTCTCCCCCCTAATCTCATGACAGACATACCGTATATTCAACAATGAAAATGAGCGCGATGGACTACTTTTACATATCTAGGATAGAGTTTATTGGTTTGGGGTGTGTACTAACCAAAACTCAGCCAAAACGCCAACTGTCTCCCCTATCTCCCCCACATCTCTTCCTTTTAACAATGCACCAATGCTCACAGACTTTTATATGGGATTAACGATGAAATAATAAACATAAAAAAACACAATATAAATTATCATTACTGTCTTCTTTTAGCCGGCAAAACGTAGATATTAGGAAAACTCCCTGACTCCCCCTTTTTCTCACCCTTCACTCTGGAACCTCACCCCAACAATAATCTTAACAAAAACTTAAAAAAAATAAATAAATAAATAACATGATGATAAACAACATCCCCAAACAATCAAAAATACATTCTTCATAGTACATCAGAAGCAATGTCTAGTAATTTTTTTTTACAAACTTTCTCATACGTCCACCAATGTAGTCTGACCTTTGACCTCAAGTCCCCCTAGTGGCCGGATACTAATTACTACCTGCTTGATCGAGTTAAAAATGCCTTTCTTACATCTATGATTTAACTTTATGTATGAATTAATGTAATATGGACACAATGTATTATAATGAATATTTTCAACAATTACAAATTTATGTATGCTGGATAATTACAGAAGTACTTGGGTCTAACTAGTGTCCATAGGCTGGTAACAAAGAAATAAGAAACACGTTTTGTTTAGTTTTTTATTTAAAGTCAAATAAAGTTACTTTTTGAAAAGCTGCTACTTGTCCAATTTTTGACAACCGTGAAATGCCTGTTTAACCTTTAGTTGAGCAACAGTGCCCCCCGCTGTATAACATTGGCAGATTTTTTTATGTTGATCGTTGAAGGACAGGAGCTGGAGGAAGCAGAGTGCAAGATGTTGAGGTTCTTTTCAAGATGAGGATGTATAGAGTTATGGTAGTTATGTCAGAAGGACAACTCTTGTGATGGTTTGGAGATAAAGTCAGGTTATGAGATGGTTTTAATGAATGGGGAGAAGGATGCTGAGGTTGGGGCTGTTTATCTAGGCTTTTTGCAGGCCTAGATAAAGACCTAAGTGGAGATTTATGGGTTTAGTGAAAGAGGACATGAAGTTAGTTGGGGTTGGAGTTGGGGATAAGATGAAAACAATTAGATGCAGGTACATAATAACTGTGATGGTTTCTAGAAAGATAACTGCTTGATAGACTTACATTGTTTTTTAAAGTCCTTCATTTGAATGGCTAAAGGTAAAAAGTTGGCTTACCTAACATAAACTTTACAGAGATTCTACTTTGTGTATGAGTGTAATATTGAATAAATAGGCCTGATATAATTTCACATTTTGAAAAATTATATATTGCTGAAGAAAATATAAACAATAAACTAATAATAACAATAAAATAATATTTAGATAATAAAATAATTGAAATTAAATTATGTCACTGACCCAATAACCCTAAAGCAGTAATACCCCAAGAACTATTGTAAAAACAGAATATAATTTTAAAAAACATGAACTGCAATTAATAAATAGCAACATCAAAAACTTGAGTTGTTAGTTTGTATTGATAATGAGTCATAAAAGTTATTTTTCAAACTTGAGCTCAAATCTTATAACAAAATGTTCCCTACTATAACAAAGAAAATGTAAGAAATTATCATGACAGGTCTATATACAAGATTTATACTGTTGCTTAGACAGTTGTGCGTGTCCTTTAACATTGGTGCCGCTTGCTTTTCAGATAAAGGATTAAAGGCGGTTGATGGTTTTCTGTCTCCTCTGAGATGCACAGTAGTAACTTCCCTTTACCCGAGCGCTTGGTGGGTTTCTGGGGCTGAGAGGGCTAACTGCTGCCCGGCCAAGGCTTCCGGCCGTGGGACAACTGATGCTGAGCGCTCCACTGTGCGCGTGCTATCACGGTGGTACAGAGCGTGTGCCAGGATACTGTGGTGTGTACTGTGGCCTTCTGTTCCTCACATGTCAGCCTGCAGAGAGATGCCCAAACTGCACATCACATATACATTGCACAATTTCAACCTATGCATTATTAAGTAGGCCTGTCACGATAGTTACTATATCGGCATATCGTGTAGTGTGAAAGCTGGAGCAATAGATTTTGGGACTCAATATATATTGCGTGTACTTTTTCTTTGTGCTAAAAGGGATTTTTAAAATTTCTTTTTTTGTTTAACATTAAACATTAAAATCAAATAGACCTGCTACAGTAACAGAAAGATTATATTTATTATTTAAAATGATTATTATTTAAATGATTAAATTAATATTGTTCTAATCACAATTACTGAATGACTGAAAACCAATAAGGCATTTTGCAATTTTTTGAAGTATCTATTTTAATTTTCAACCAGCAATAGGACTCTCAGATTTGCATAAATCTTCATCTTAATATTGATATGTTGATGTGGCATGATTAGAAAAGCAGAAAAAGTATTGTGTTGTGGCAAAGCGATATGTACAGTGTCAGCGGCACACAGAAGCAGGAAGAATAGTCCACCATGATGATTCTCACGAGTATAGTTAGAATAATTATTTCAAACTTGCACATATAATTCAAATAACAACATGACAGTGCAGACACAAATACACACATGCACTGCATGCACTGGAAAGGGGATGGCTGAAGTAGAGCATAGTAAAACATTTTAAATATTAGCTCTAAATGTTATATAAATGCTATGAAAATAAATTTCATTTCACCAATTACTACGAATATACCACCTGCTTACTAGATTTATTATGAGCCAAATTATTATGTATACCTGTAACCTGTTAGCAAATCTACCAGAAGATTTATGTAATCTTTGACCTGTGTATATATAATCTATGCGTGAACCACAAGGGGGCAGACAGAGCAGCCCCGTGGTGCAATAAAGTCTCACAAAGGCACAAAGAGCAATAATCAAAAGGAAAGTTGATCTCTTTAATGGCTGCTATGGCTGATTAGGCTTCATTACCACTGGTTTATTAGCTCTTGTGAATGTGTGCCAGCGTGTATGTGCAAATGCCAGCATATTTTTACAATATCAATGGGATAATTCTTTGTACTGAAGCAAGTTTATTTTTGTCAAAGCACTTTCTGTTCCCCCTTTTTACTTTGCTGCTTATGATGCAAATACAGGCCCACCAAGATGATCTGTACTCAGGGCCCAGAATTTTGCACTATATCCCTGTGAAATAATATAGTCCCTCTTGTTTTTTTAGGTGGAGGTTTGGGTCTAAGAAGTAAGTAAAATTATGTGGGGCTAAATAGAAATGTCCAAATTTATGATCCACAAATGTTGAACCTCATCCTTATTTGTCAGGTTTTGAGTTCACAAATTGACTATATTTCTGTCAACTTGAAGTCAACTGACAATACTTTATTGGGGTTGAATGGTACTACTACCAAATCTGAATATATTGTGAAAAATAATTCCATTCTTAAAACATTAAGGGTTCTCAACAAATATTTTAATCAATTGCTGTACACATTTTCCTTTTGTTCAATCATGGACAGTTTTATACCTATTCTTCACATCCTAATGTACTAGTTGATCGTACAAAACATACTCTGCTTCCATGGCAACTAAATTCAGGATTAATTTTAAAATGGTTAAATACTGACTTCCTTATAGCAGAACTGGAGCTATGAATTGCTCTGAATTGCAAATGCTGACCTCAGCAGAGCCAATGTGTCCTTCAGTTCCACAGTAGTCACATGATGTCAGCTGTCCTCTATACTGTAATTCCTACTGTCTACATAGTGTAATTTATATAAAGAGTTTAGGTCACCACAGGACTTAATTAGCCTGGCTAGACAATTCTAATAGTGCTGCTCTATCCAAAGAATACTGTCTCCTGTCAATTGGAGTTTCATGTCTAAAATAGGCACAGATCAAATGACGACTGCATGCATTTAGATAGACATTGCTGAATCAGAAAATAAAATGCAGCGATACAATTATAAAGCCATACAAACCAATCAGAGAAAGTAAACATCACATCACATTGTCTATTTTAGGCAAGTAGGCAAGATTCATAGATAAAGGAACTAAATAAATAGATATATATGAAAATCATTGAGGATATGGCCAAATATATATCTTATTCCTTTAGATCAGTCTTTGATGCCATAGCTGCCATTTGCAAACAAATAGAATAGTAATTACACCTAATCAGCCTTAATACATTATGGAAAAAGACTTAAATTCATAATGAACAAATGTATTGAGAATGATTCAAGCTTAGTAATTACTTAAAGGTGCAGTACTTAATTTTTACTGTCTTAAAAATTTCAAATATTTAACTAGTTTGCAGCGTTCCAAAGTTATTAGTTTTACCTAATGCATTCCAAGCATTTTTATTCACTGATATAATTTAATAAGAGCTTTATACAACTTTCAGAGGCCTTTAATGCTAACAAACAATAGCACACTAATGGCACACTTCCTGTTTCATGAAGAATAAAACACTCTATAGTATGACATTGGTTTCATCTTCATCATAAGAGTTGCTTTTACAATATATTTGTATTCAGTCAAAACAGATTTTATTTAATTACATGAAAAAAACAGGTACAGACCTTTTAATTAGTACCTTAATTACTAACTGTTATCCTTTAATTAGATAGCAAAGGAGAAATTCAATTCTGTCAAGTGGACAAAATTTCAAACAAAAACATTTTTCCAGTTGATAGAATTGAAATTCTCCTTTGCTATGTGTCTTACTTAGACGATTAAAAGAACTTTAATTTGATAGTTACTAAGCCTGAATAATTACCATAAACCATTAATAACCTAATTGTTCATTATGAATTAAGTCTTTCTTGATGCTTTATTAATGCTAATTAAAGTGCAGTAATAATAAAGTGTAACGAAGAGCTCCAGTTTAGCCCATTCTCATGACGTTCCCAGGATGTTCTTGGGTCTCGTCTTCATCTCGACTCTTTTAAACGAGTAGCGCTCTCCAGTCCGCCCGTCTGTCAGGATGTACCACGTGCCCCAGTAGATCCCATTGGTCACTCCGCTATAGCGCCCCCTATAGTAGCGTCCGTTGAGGTTTGCAGCTAAACACGCGTCGAACCACCAGCCTGCCCCATAGTATTGGCCACAGTTCCCGGCAGCGTATCTGTCGTTGTCCCTGTCAAAGGTACTGAAGAATCTGCCGTCATGGTTGTAGCGTTTACTGTAGCTAAGGGCATTTCCAGCATCTCCAGAAAACTCCTTTGCTGTCAGACGAAACCTGTAGAAAGATTGTCACAGTCATATAATTTCACACTTGATTGCAATACTAAGGAATAAGTTTGATACCAAATTTAATATCACAGTGATTATGAAAAAATATGTTAGACAAAAGTCATTTTCAACATAAGATAATGGTACTTTCTTTATGTTGCCATGTGGTGAACTATGATTCGAATTAACATGCAAGTTTTTGTTGTAAAATAACTAGTAACTTCTAATGACTTATTATTTTTATTATTAAAGGTGCACTGTGTAACTTTTTGATTGGTGGTTTGTCACCTGCTTATTTCTATGGATATGCCATTGTTCTGCCTGAAATGTTCCTCAGTATGACAGTAAACAGCTCTTCTAGCTCAAAAATACAAAGTAAAACAGGCATTCTGACTGTGAACGGGGTTGCCTCTCCACAGATCTGACCTGTAACTTGGTCTGGTTTGGTCTCCATGAAGATAGAAAGGTTTAATACCATACTGTGAAACATTCCAGACAAACCAATAGCATCTCCATGGAGAAAAGCATTTGACGGACCCTCCACCAGAAAAGTTACACTTTGCACTTTTAACAGAAATTATGAGGTTCAACATTTGTCAATTTGTCTTGGATATAACTTATGAAACTACAATGTTACATTCTAGAATCTGACATATAACCCGCTGGGAATGAAGAAGACATTGAACTTTGAACTCTTGTATTTACGTATCCCACCTCTGTGCCTCCGATGCCACTCTGAAGTTGCTGTAGGTGGCCTGTCTCTTTTGCTGGTGCCAGTCCTCCAGCTCTATGCGGAGCTGGTGTTGCCCTGTTGCAGTAAGGGCGCACAGGGCTGAGTTCCCCAGCCAGTGCTCCCCCAGTGGGCTCCCGAAGCCCTCTCGATACTCCTCCCACGTCCTGTTGAAGTCCTCTGACCCATCGTAACGTGCTTGGATCACTGTCCACCCACCGTCCGCTGCCTCCATGTCGCATTTAGCCTGAGACAAAACAGGGGAAAGAGATTGCGTTCATGTTATAGAAACTGATTATGTCATAATCTTAGATGGTGAGCAAAAGCCTATGAAACTCAATGGGACATTTAATGATTTACGGTAAAAAAAAATTTATTCACACATCATTATTGTGTATCATATTATATGTGTTGGGAATTGGGTCAGCAAACATTCAGTATTTATCTAATGTCATAAAGTTCTTTCAACTGACAATAAGCACACCTTTAGGGTAGAATAATGACAATACTTTCTGAAAATAATTTCACTTTGGTTTATGTTTCTGTTTGTTTTTGTTTGCTGTAGTGCCCATCAATTATAGAGTAAAACATGTGAAAAAGAACAGCAATCTGACTGGTAAACAGCAAATTCCCCATAGAATTCTGACCTGTCCTCCAGCTCAGTTTTACTCTACAGGGATTCTTGGATGTTGTAAACCCATCCTATTATCGGGTCCACAGATAGCACGGGCGTGACTAAAAACAGAGGAGTGTTGCGTGTTTTATGAGTGTGATGTGTCTGAAATACCTCGAGAGCTGGGCCATGCAGGTCAGGCTGGATGGTGTAGATCCCGTTCTCTTTGATGCCAAGCCTGTAAATCTCTGCACAGTCTTTGGGATGCAGCCGCTCTAAAGGAGGGACTTAGGCACAAACGAGACAGTGCTCTGTCACAGAGGGTCTATTGGACTGTGATGATGGAGGATAATGTAATAATGTGTATGGATGATGTGTGATGTTACCTGTGGGAGTGTGCTGTGTGATGCTCTGCAGGAAAAGCAGCAGGTCCTTCTCTCCCTCTCGTCCCACTGCTGCGCTCTCTAATAGAATATACAGTCATATAACTATCAGACACATTAGATTAGAGTTATGTCAAATATACCTAAACTACTGTTGGTTTCATTTTCAACAAACTTTTCTCCCCTGGAGTGAAAGAAGTCCTGTCACTGAGTATCTCTGCCCACTACAAACCTTTCTTTTCAAAAGCATTTTATGTCTGCCTCTTAGATTTATACTTTATTGAATATTTTCCTTCTGACTTCATGTGAGTTCTTACCCAGTCTCTTGGCCATGGCCCCGAGCGCCTGGCTGTGACAGTGAAGGTCACACTCTGTCAGCACCGCTGCCATCAGCGACAGAATGGCCCCCAGAGAGTCCTCCTGGGGCCCGTGACTCCAGGGGCCCCCAGTTTCCTGGACAGAGCGCATGCAGCGCTGCAGCTGAACCAAACGCTCTTTGACTCCTGTCTGCACACACAGGACACCACAGTCTCATGGGATAAAGGAGTGAGTTGAAGTAGAACCTTAGACTGTGCTGTTGTAGCTATTAGGTGTAATGACAACATGATGTCATGTGGACTGTCTGTCAAATGTCCCTCACACTTACATCAGCCTGTGTAATAATGCCACACCTGTTCACTATGAGCTCATTACAACCAGCTGATGTGGACATTTTTAAAGCCGACCTAATTTTATCTCATCTTTGATTGTCAACTGCCACCGCACCAGGAGGCGGAGGTGGTGCCAAGTTTAGAGCCACAGTCCCAGGAGAGGGGACCCATGGCCCGTGCCAGAGCTCACTCTGAGCAGCACATGTGAATAAACAGTCTGGGCTCAGACAGCTCTCTGACCACTGAAAGACAATACTCTCACAGAAGTGACTTACTGTCATTATGGACCTATGCTATCATTTTGCACTTTATTCAGTTTAAATGTAAGACAGTTTATATGATTTGAAAAACCATTGTATTGGGCACTTACCTTAGTGTGAGTGTGACTGACGTCCTGTCTCTGCTCCATCCTCCGCGGTGCGTCTGCCTGGAGAGTCCTGCAGCTGCCTGTCCCGGGCTGACCCTCACAGGGCCCAGGGACCAGAGCAGCCACCAGAGCCTCTCTGCAGGAGGGCTGAGTGCAGGTAGGGGAGGCCTGGGAGGGCATCATGGCTCCAACCAGCAGAGACAGGAGCAGGAGCATCCCACACGCTCCAAACAGCACAATAGATACAACAGAAAGTCACTCCACCTCAGAGCTGATGTTGCTGCTGCAGCCTGTGTGTCCTCTGTGCACTAAAGCATGTCCCTTAGAAATGGGTCTAAACTGTCTAAAGGCTGTGCTCCTGTCTGAGGAAGAGCCTGGTCTCAGGTCATGTCCTGGTGCTGTCGGCTGCTCACTGTCTGCTGTGAGGGTCCTTTGGCTCAGATTCCTAGATAAGTGTCTGACATGGACCAATGCACCCACCCCCTGACGCTCACAATCAGTGCATCTCCCTGTGCACACTCAACAATCACATAGTGAACAGTGCAACAGGCTGCACTGCTGTTTAGTTTTGGAGTTCTGTGGGCATTATTAGTATATTCATTAAAATTTTTTGCATTCCCACACCATTACCTCTCATAAGCCCATGCATTGACCTGGATGCTCGTCGCTGCTTTAGATCATCTTCCATCTTCTGGGCACTTATCCTGTGTCTCACTTCCTTTTGTGTCTCAGTGTTTGTGTTTACACAGAGGTCATAAAATGGAGGGCTCAATAGGAGCGAGAAGGCAGGAATTCTTCTATAAACAGCCGAGTTATTCCAGGTATCAGGAAACGGCACAGGCACACTTCCACTAACAAGGTGTGCAAACAATCTTCTCGACAGGAACTCTCTGTCTGAATGTAGGGACGAAAGTGAACATGATGAATCTGCTGTGTGAAATATTTGTATGTCATTCAGTGTAATGAGTATAGTGAGGAGGAACTGTTATTTTATAAATGTTACATTTGTTGATACCATGAATAAGGAAAATAAGTACAATCTTTCATCCAGATAGATTAACAGATGTAACCACCCTAACCCTAACTTCTTAATTTTTTTTTTTTTTTTAAACATCAAAGCATACAGATTTTTGTTAATTATTGGTTTAAAGACTACAAAAAAGTGGCACAATCTATTCAGTTAATACTGATATCTGTTCTTCATCTTGACTTCCTTTTGCATTCACAGTGTTGAGCGAAATGTATTCTGTTCATTAACAGGAGACCACTCACCTGTCTTTGACCCCTCTAACATCACTGAAGTGTGTCCTTTCAATTCTGAAGAAAACCATGGCTGAAATTATATCTTCAATAATATGGCACTGCTCTGCCCTCTAGTGGATGAAACAACACTTTTTACACACACTTGCTAGTAGTACTTCAAATTCAAGTACTGAGAGCACAGAGCCCTGTGCATAGAGTTCCAACTGCCTCCAACTGGGACGAGACATTTTTTAACAAAATTCGACAAAATGGGACGTAAGAACAAGACAAGATGAGATTTTGACATAATTTATAATAAATAAATTGGTCGATGCAGTTCACAGATTTGGCCTCAGTATTTCTTTTTTGTGGTTATAGTAGCCATGTAATGCCCAAATGTAAATATCTCACAAGATCTACAGAAAATCTCACAAGATCATTTTCCTCATGTGTGCATAGTCTTGTGGCAATTTTCTCACAAGATCTTGTCCCATCCCTAATCCCCACTGCATGTTGTCCAGTTTATTGTTTTCAACAGAAACAAGAACTGGGAGACCTGTCTTCACTATAGAGTAAGCAGTTATCATGGAGCACCCCAATATCAATATTATATTGGAGTTCAGTTGTCGAACCCATACTTTTTACCACTTACAAACGCTACTTTATGGTTAGGTCAGACTACATTACTGTATATAGATATTTGCCTATCTTACATGGTATTTATTTCGATAGAAAAATCAGTAATATATAACTTAACAATTATTTAATTTCACTTTTATTTTGGACATTGAATAACAACGATAATGCGTCTCATAACACCAAAAATACCCTGTTATCTTTGCTATCAATTTTGAGAGAGCTACCGGGAATATGGGCTTGGTTTGGCTATTTACGCCTGACGTCATGACGCAGGGATGTTTGGAGGAAGTGAAAGAGGAAGAAAAAGCGCAGGAGCAGCGGGGAGCTCGGCGGCTGGCATCCTTCTAGCAAAGTGCCAAATTTCTCCTATACTTTAAAGGTTTTTCCTCATCTGTTTACATTAGCACTTTACTTATACTAAGACAAAACGCGTGCTACATGTGACAGGACTTGCCAAAGTAGCCGCATCCTGTAATCTCGCCTCTTGAGCCCGCTTGCCTCCGTGAAACCGAGTTGAACAAAACAGCTAGCCGTGGTTAGCCTGCAGAGGGGTCGTCTCTAGACTGCAAGACTGACAGTAAGTGCATCATGTGACTTTTATCTTCCTTGGGGATTGCTTTCCTTGCTTATTTAGTCACGTTTTTTAACCATCTGATGCTAAATATGCTACAGATTGTATAGCAATTGATGGAGCGGTCTTGTCAAAGGGTAAGTTGTCAAAACGAGGCCGATTTGTAGCTCTTTTTTTAGTCGAATCCGAGAGGAAAGAGTGTCGGTAGATACAGCCAGGAGTCTTTGTAATAAACGATTTGCTTGTCCAACAACATTCATGTTTAAGGATTTGACCGGAGGACATGTTGATTATTGTTCAGAGTTCAGAGTAAAATCAAACGTAAAATTACATTACATTATGAATCTGAATTTTACTTTCAATTTAATTTTTTGCCTACATTGAGAGAATATTATTAGCATCTGTTTTCGTTTTCTTAACCAACAACATCAACAATGTTTATGTCTTGTAAGTCCACCCAAGCTAATATGGCACAAGTTGCTTTTCATAGACTATAAATATATATATATATATATATATATATATATATATATATATATATATATATATATATATATATAATTTCAATGGATTTTTAGTCATTTGCTATGATGTCTATTATGCAAGCCTATACACTGCAATTCTTTGAAAATTTGCCACTCTTGTATTGTCATAGCTTCATTGAAATACTAATATTAATACTACCATGAACTTCTTTTTCTCTTTTTCTGTTGTACTGTTTATTGACATTTAAGGCCACCCTTTCTCTATATTTTATTTTACCTTTATCTATATTTAGCCTGCATCAGCATGGTAAATTCTCATATTATACAGAAATATTCCGGGATTTTCTTGCTTGACTCAGGACCAACATGTGACTGTTGTCAAAGACTTTCCAATGTTTTTCTGTGACTCATTATTCGGTTGCCATGTAGTCTGTCAACTGTCACAACTTGTCAAACCAGTTGCTTGTGTCTGGTGATTGGTGAGGTAATGTTTAGAGAGTTTTCAAACAGCAGTCTATTGAAGATCATTAAACAACAGTATTTACAAGACTGACCAGAGCTGAAACTGAGGAAAAATGGAGATACAGCACTGATTGTATAAAAATCGAGTGATTGGTATGGGTTTTTCATGGCCAGTGTTGATATCGATTGTTTGCAACCCAGAAAAACAAAGGCTGATAAGCTCTACCAATATTTTGGGAACAATATAAGGACAATTTTGATTATTTTCCACAAATTATGCAATTTTAATTAACTGCAAAGTCATTCACAAACTGTTTTACTATAAACTATTGTAGTCACATTTTGTACAGTACCCTCCTTGTACTAAACTGTTCAAACAAGGCTTCATGCCTGTTCTTTACTAAGCAAAACATTTCATCTACCCAGTGTTAATTATACTCATGAATAAGTTGACATGTTTTGGGTTTTTTTTGGTCACAAGTCTGTATTTACAAAGTGGCAGTCAGCCCACATTTAGCATACAGAAAGATTTTTAAGACGCATACATTATAATAAATACTATTTTCATTTAATTTAATTTAGTATTATTTGTATTTTTTTTTTGTGGCTCGGTTACTGGATTCTTCCACTGTAAAATGTAACTTGTAGATGTGTAGTTTCACTTTCCTAAACTACATAATGTTTTAGCTTAAGGAAATGTACAGACTTTGGTTGGATCAATAACCCAATGTTGTAACTGCATTGCCTGTGTCTTGTTACTTATTGGTAATTCTACCCCTTAAAATATGGTGGTTTCTTGAGGTGTGGACAATATGACTTTTCAGACGATTATAGCAGTCCAGTTAGGGCTGCAACAATGGTGACTAGTCAACTATAAAAAAAAATAGTATTTTGTAATCACTATATGGACTATACAGACCCTAAAACACATAAGGAAAGACCGTTTTATATCAAAGATGGTGTTATTAAAACAAAATTTCCATAAATAATACCCAGTTTCAGATTTTTATTACAAACACATGTGAATACAGTGTAAAATGTATTCCACTCATTCACGCACAACAGTTAGGCTTATTTTCATTTTTAATCTGCTCATTTTGCAGCATTTTAAAAATATTTTTTAAGTTTTTATTATACATGATTTAATCAATATTAAATTTAGCGTATCTGCAAAACAGCAATTGTGATACACCTTTGATGTATCTCCCATCTTCTTACAAAGTTATATGTTTTACTGTCCCTTTAAGATGTGTAACAGTCTTCTGATTAGATCCACATTATCAGCGCATAATTCAGATGTCTCACTGTTTTATTGTCATACTCTGTGCAGACCATGTGATTTTGGTGACAGCTGTTGCCCTGTCATAATAATTACTATATGAATTTATAGCTCAATAAACTACAGAAGAAACCATTTTTAGTAGTCAGTATTTATCATATATATATTTATCGGGGCTTTTTACCATTGGAGCTTTACCGTCTTAAAACATGAAAAATAGAACTAGTTCATTTTAACTGGTTGTGGTGGTTCAAAGTTATTCCTCACCTACCTTATTTTTATAAGCATTTCAAAACTCTTGGAGTCCAGAGCAAAGTTTTGCCTTGACATAAGGCTTACAACAACACGCACGTCCTGATTATTTTAAAATAAAATGGTTTGTAATTAGATGCTGACAGCCATACATGTAGGTCTACTTTTGACCTAAAGAGCTTTAACAGCTATATACAGTAATTTTAAATATCAGTACACATTTACACATTGCATTTTGTGTTTTTTGCACTATTTATTTATTGCAGCTCTTGTTTTATGGGCAGGGGTGTAATGGGCGTGATATGTGAGGGTATGCTGTTCACCCAATTCTCCCGACATGAGATATAAAAAATAACAAATATAAAAAAGCTACTAACTTAAATGTCAAAATGGAACTATTGGCAATTATGAAAGCAACCTGCATAGGCTCATGATATCTGCAGTACTGTCCTATAGTGACTTAAGACATGAGGGACCAGGACTGATCCCAGGACTAAACCAGGACTGATCCCAGGACTAAACCAGGACTGATCCCAGGACTAAAACAGGACTGATGCCAGGACTAAACCAGGACTAAAACTGTTTATGGGTATACTTTGGGAAACAGTCATGAGATTTGTATGTATGCTATTACTGAGTTTCAGAAGACATTACAACATTTTATAGGACAATAATTAAATACATTGGGGGGGCAGCTGAAATGAATATTGCTAAAATGCAGATTTCTGTTGCAGTACCACAAATTCTAGAGGCTAGTATTAGAAATGATCAGGTTCAACATGTGTGAATGTATTTTTTGAATATTTACTTGCAAAGTAGAATGTAATGAATAGGGAAATCTGTCTCCTGCCCACTGGGAGTATGATAACATCACATTGTAGAATCTGAAAAACACCTGTAAGGGTTAAAATATCATCTGAATCAAGCAGTTTAATCAGTGGTAGTTTCTTATGATATTTTAAGAAATAATATATTGTTATCATGACAGGCCTAATGTTAGACTCCATAGCTCCACAGCTCTTACAGGAGTCAAGTGCATGTGAAGAATGTGAGGGCTGTTACATCTGCAGGTTTGACTTGTAACTCGAGAATCTGTGGTTTTACCGTCAGGAAGTGAATGGATAGATGTCAGTGGTGCAGAGACGTGATTTCCATGACAAACATTCCTCCTGTTTGTTTGTAGCAGTGATTCTTTTTGTTTTCAGATGTTTTCAAAATCAGATACAAATCTATACTGAAACTTGTATCAAAACTAGATACTCATTTGAGCAGGTATCAATGCTAAAAGGGGACACAGGACAGAAATTTACCTTTCTTGAATAACTTCAGAATGATCTGAAGCTGTATCAGAACACTATCTGAGTTTTACACCAAACTAGGACAGTGAATCGCATTCAAACCCAAAATGCAATTGCATTTTTTTTTGCAGTTGTCAAATCTTAAAGGCTTTGGTTTAGATCAGAGAATGCCCACAACAATACATCCTCCCTTGTAGTTCAACCCACCATACTCTATTTGAATGGAAGAGGGTCTTGGAGCACCTGAATCTTCACATTCAAACCATTTTATCCCATGGCCAACTGCTTTCAAAAGGGCTCTGACTAATGTCCTTTTATTTTCCATTATGCAGTCCAAGTTTCACCCAAATATTTCACACAATGTTATGCAATACTTTAATCCTATTAAATGCTCACCATATTTTCTATTATGTACGTGGGTAGTAGTAATAATATTTTCTTTATATATTTTTTTTGTAGACTATTGATACTTTGCAGTGGTTTGTGAAGCTAAATGAAAGCACTATTGTTAGAAGTTCTGTTACTCAAGTTGGACTTAATTTCAGCTTCTTTTTTTAACACACAGTCTCACTAGAAAGAACTGATTTAGTTGGAACTACAACAGGTTAGTTCAAGTCTCTCACACATAAACCTGTTGCCAAGTTGCCATTAGTCAACAGTTTTTCAGTAGACGCTCATACCTTTCTGTTGAATATTAAACACATAAATAAGACCGTGAATGCTTGTACTGATCATAGGCTTCTAAAAATAATTTTTAAATCCATTTTGTATTTTTCTTGAGTTTTCTTAAAACTTTTGAGGCAGTATTTGCTCATGTGTGCATTGTGTCACCATGGTAACTGCTGAACAGTCTGCATGTAGAACACGGAGAACACCCCCAGCATCATGTCACTGTGAAATATCAGTTTGTAAAGCATTGTGTGTAGAAATAGTGTCAAGCGAGTTTAGGTATTTGAAAGAAAGCTTGGATTGTTTGAGCTTGGATAAGATAAACTCTTAGTCTTTACTTCACCAGCTCTTTCACAACTGAGCTATGAAAGCCACACAAACGGGAAGAAGAGTCAACAGACCAGAGAGATCAGGAAATGAATGTAATGTATTGTATTATGAAAACAATATATAGGAATATGTACTAATACTGCCAAGAGATGACTATTTTTAAAACTTAACAGAAATATGTTTATAATGGAGATATTATCCACTGAATGTGATCTAAACATAAAAGGGACTTTCCAGGTTTTCTTTTTTTGTGTTGGGTAAATGTTGACTTGATTGGGAAATAAATTATATGATGAACAAAGCTCTGTGAATAACCAGGGCTGTCATGATTATAGTTAACCAAACAGCAATTTATTTTTCAATTAGTTGATTAGTGAAACAATTATTTATATTGTACTTTTTTTGTATATATTTCCAAACAAATACAAGTTCAAATTTGGTGACTGAAGACTTCTAAATAGAAACTATTTACAAAGTGTATTGATACTTTGCAGCTGATGTCAGGAACTTTCCCCTGGGTGGTGTAAAGCTAACTGAAAGCACTACTCTGTTAGAAGCTCTGTTACTCACTCTTATTCTTAATCATAATCTGACCATAAAGAGCTAAAACAGGTGAGATGATTAGTACGCTTAAAATTCTCTCACAGGGAAAATTACAGTCACTAGCTAGCTTTTTCAGTGACCCTTTTTGTCAAAACTCAAACGCCTAGGGTTAGGGTTAGGATCATGAACGCTCAGGCTCCTGAAAATTATTTGTTTTAAATCCATTTTGTATTATTCCTTGAGTTTTCAGATTATATTTAAACATTAGTAGCAGTTTTTGCTAATTTGTGCATTGTCTTACCTGCAGTGTGATATCACCGCAAAGTATCAGTTATTAAAGAAAAACTGAAATTATTTATTGATTTTATAATGTCACTCTCTGTGTATGTGTTTTAGAGACTGATAATATATATATGATAATGATAATATGGTAATCATTAACTGGACTCTACAAATGACAACTAAGAGTGGTCACAATTAGTCGATTATGCATCCTATTACATACAATTTTGTGATTGAGAGTTGACAAACTTTGTAAGCCAGTAAGCTATAGGTGTGCCCTAAGATCATGTAACTGTCCAAACTAGGTCTTGCTTATCTATATTAACATCATGTAATATATTATGTATTTTCAACCAATTTTGTGTGCATTTTTTTTAAGTGTACAATATTTGGCACATTATTTCTGTGGTGTTGTAGCCAAGACTGATGTGGTCCTCATGATTTGCACATGACTGGAATGACTGGTATTTGAAGGGACAAGCTGCCTGCACACTTCTGCTCTCAATGTTTACCAATCTGTCCGAGAAACAACACCTATGCTATAAATCCCAATAATTTTGATTTATTTATTGTTTCAAGCTTTATTTTATGGTGCATTGATCCTAAAAATCTCGATGTCTATTTGTCATTACAGCTGTGAAAAAATGTCATCGAGGAAGAAGGTGCTGTTGAAAGTCATCATTCTGGGAGACTCTGGGTAAGTCCTGTTCACCTGTCTAGAGGTCAAGTGTTCAAATGGAAGGTGGAGGGAAAGAGGAGGAGGAAGGGATTAGAGTCTGTTTTGGTTTTGCTTTTTTACTTGTTTACAGTATCAAATGTTATGGCTAAACATGATTGTGACTTAATGTTATAGTCTGCTGATTTGGCAATTTTTTTTTTGTAGAATCCTGTAATTTTCAGTCGTTTTCACACATGTTCCTGCGCTCTGTGGACCGACCTCATTGTGCACTAGATTTAGTTCTGTTTACTTTGCCTTTGGGTTGGTCTGGTTCACATGCACCATGCATCATTCACCTCAAACATGCATCTTGAGACACGAGAGAGTCCTGCCAGCTAATCACTGTACTGTGAATCAGTCATGAACAATTCAGAAGACTGCCAAGACCAGTTACTCAGTTGATGTAAAATATTACATTAAGACACACATTTTGGAACATTCATATGTCTCTTGTCTTGCTGTGGCAGGTTTAGTATGTTTTTTTTTTCTCCTCTTTTTCAGTGTGGGGAAGACCTCCCTCATGAACCAGTATGTGAACAAAAAGTTCAGTAACCAGTACAAAGCTACAATAGGAGCCGACTTCCTCACTAAGGAAGTGATGGTGGATGACCGACTTGTTACAATGCAGGTAAATAAAAGGACATGAAATAGATCATTTAAAATAAATACAACATTTTTATGCCTTGATTAATTACTTTACACACTCACCCAGATAAGTTACAGAGTGCATTTAACCCATTGACGCCGGATGCTGCGCTGCGCAGCGCTGAGTCCCCTGTCGGTGTTCCGGATTATCTGGCGATCAGCGTAACTGGTAAAGGCGGGGCTACATCTGGAAGCATGTGGGGCGTGTCCTCCTCTCGGTTCCATTCACTCCCATAGAGAGACGCAAAACTGCTGGAGCTGTATTGTCGCGTTAAACCTTCTGTATCGTGGCATATTATTTCCCCATTGAAAAATAATCCAAATGTATCCCGCACATGTTCCCATCAAGACCTGATTTGAAGTAACAAACGTTGCTCTTTACTGCAGCGCATGAACGCGCTCAACCACTTGATCTGGTCGCTGCTCCAGACGCTCCTATAACAGGTGCTATATCACTATGTCGTGTAACAAATAAACATGGTCAAACACAAATGTTGTCTTCACTGTCATGGTCACTGTCAGCATTTTTGTCTTTGACCATGTTCGGGATGCATTTGGATTATTTTTCAATGGAGAAATAATACGCCACGATAAAGAAGGTTTAACGCGACAATACAGCTCTGGCAGTTTTGCGTCTCTATGGGAGTGAATGGAAGCGAGAGGAGGACACGCCCCCCCCCATGCTTCCAGATGTGGCCCAGCCTTCACCAGTTACGCTGATTGCCAGACAATCCGGAACACCGACAGAGGACTCAGCGCTGCATTGCGCAGCATCCGGCGTCAATGGGTTAAGAAAACCTCATTGAATAAAGAATGAAGACAAGATACGATATGGTAATCCCCCAGCTAAGGTAGTTCTGATCAAGCCTAGCTCTTGCAGCATTGAAGAAGGGGGCAAATGCAGAGGGCAAATGTCCCACCGGGGTCAGTAAAGTGTACTTCTCATTGTCCAGATCTGGGACACAGCAGGGCAGGAGCGGTTCCAGTCTCTGGGTGTGGCTTTCTATCGTGGTGCAGACTGCTGTGTGCTGGTGTTCGATGTGACCGCCCCAAACACCTTTAAGACCCTGGACTCCTGGAGAGATGAGTTCCTGATCCAGGCCAGTCCTCGAGACCCAGAGAACTTCCCCTTTGTGGTGCTAGGCAACAAGATCGACTTGGAGAACAGACAGGTGAGACGTGGAGTCAAGTTGTTTTAATAAGGGGTTATAAGTTACTTCTATTCAAACCTTTCCTTTACAGTTGGATAGTTGTTGCTCATACCAATCTGATCATTAGCCTTTTTTTAAACCATCAGTGTTGTTGAATGCTTCAATACTGATTTCATCACAATAATATATTCAGTTTATCGCAACACAAAATAATGTTTATTTTGTATATTACAATGTCGTTTTAATAGTTCTAATATAGATCTAGATAATTCTAAAACTATTCAGGAGTGGTCCAACTTGATTTGTTCAGTCTTAGTACTTCACATGAGTATCTAATTTTGGTACTCTTTTAATTTTATTTTGTATCTATTTAAGTATCCCAGTATAATTTTTTTGGCAACCTTACGAGAGGTAGAGGTGAAAAAACAGACGACAGCTGAATAACTACCACCTTGGTAACAATACAGTTTTAAACAAATGTTAAGTATGTTGTTTTTATTTCATTTTCATTTTTATTTCATCTATGCAAATCTCAGTTTTAAATCTATGGTGAGTTCAAAAGTGTGTAGAACTATCTAATACTTATAGTTTCTCCTCTGTGTTTTATAGTTGTTATGTTTATGAGAATTTTCTGTTAGCATAGTCCTTAGTTAAGACAGTTAGTTTAGTTAAAATTTTCCTTCAAAGTCAAATTTTTTAACACTTGTTGCATCATATATGTGTCACCTACTTCAAGATAATAGTGCTAGTTTTACTATACCATTATATTTTGTCAATTTGTCCCTATGTAATGTCATACAGTATCGTCCCTGGTCCTAACTTGACTCCATATGAACATTCAGGTGACGACCAAACGAGCCCAGGCCTGGTGCCAGAGTAAGAACAACATCCCATACTTTGAGACCAGTGCCAAAGAAGCCATCAATGTAGAACAAGCATTCCAGACCATTGCACGCAACGCCCTCAAACAGGTACCATACAATACTATACTGTTGTTAATAATGTTACACTACGGCTGGGAAATATTCTAAGACCATGTGGTTATCATTTCAGTTTGATCAATATTCATGTAATCTTAACACTTTTCTATTGATTTCAGGATGTAACTAAACATGTCTACTTTCATTGTGAAATATTAAATGCCAAAACCCGTACTTAAGTAAAAATACAATTACTCCAAAATAATAGTAAGCATAAAGTTGTGCTCCAAGAAATTACTCAAGTAAGAGTAAAAACATATTGACAATATTTTGATTTTTATGTAACTGGATGCACAAAAGCTTTTGTTAGTATTCATAGTGTGAAATGTAACCAAAACAAAAGTTATTAATAGGCTTGAGTAAATGTAACTATGTTCTATCCACCTCTGCCTTAGTATACTTAACAGAATGTAGATAAACATATGATTCTGATGGATTTTTACTGTAGTCACAAAAATCTATTTAACTTTCACTTAACTTTTCACTTTGCTTTCACTTTTTGTCTTCACTGTTTTGTCTTGCAGGAAACAGACATGTCGGTGTACAATGAATTCCCAGATCAGATCCAGCTTGGGAATGACAGAGCCAAACCTCCAGCGGAAAGTTGCAGCTGCTAAGAGCCCGGACCTGTGTCTACTGTCACCTGCACCTTTACTCCTGGGGAACAGTGCCCCCTACTGGTCTTCCTCCTTCAGCCATTCCACCACAATCACAACAACCTCCTATGGATGTCACCTTATTTCTTATTCCCACTTTCCACACTTCAAGTACCCAAAGAATCATACAAGAGAAGACGAAAAGGCCTTATAATACATGGCTTTTGTGCAGTTTTTCTTCTTGCAATGGCCAATGTTGAACACAAGATGGCGTCGTATTGTTAAAGTGGTTTCTGGGACTGGCCCTGTAATGTGACAAAGATGTTGACTAACTTCAGCATCCCATCTTATTAACTCTTTCCCACTTTTTGCTTATTATTGTCAATATAAATCAAATTGAGTTATATATGTTTGTATATATATTTTTAGTTATCCAGTGTTGTTTCTGAGTTCAATTTGAACCATGTTTTTTGCACTTTCTTTTAGTTTAGAAATGAAGGGATGGCTGATTTTGGGCAACGTCTGCCTCTGCACATTTTTAAATTAAGCTCTGAACTGTAACAGTTACTTATAGGGCTGCGCAATATTGGGAAAAATACAGGGGTTTACTTAAAGGTGCTCTAGGAAACTTGTCAGGTAGAGGGTATGCCACTTGCTTGTCTCCATGGAGAGATTATTGCTTTGCCTGGAATGTTTCAGCATATGGCATGTAATGTATCTATTTCTATGGAGGTAAGTAAATACAACTAAACCAAGTTATAGGTCAGAACTGTGGAAAGGTGACCAACACACACTAAGAATGTTTGTTTTTCAAGGTATTTTTTAGCAATAAAAACACCTGTGATTGAGCAATAGATCAGTAATGCAACATTGAGGAAAACTTGCAGTCAAAGCAGTGGTGAACCCTCCACCTGAAAAGTTCTATAGTACACCTTTTAAAATGGGTTTACAATTCCTGTGGTTTGTAATGGTGGTTTGAGGTTCAGCTTCCAACATGGAGACATTTTTTGAAAATCTAAATCTAGCCTATAATGTAAACAGTAAATAAATAGTAAATAGTACTTTTTCCACATTTGTACATAATTGTCTTGATAAAAACATGCACCAAATATTGTGCAGCCCTATTTATAAACATAAAATATCTCGTACACTTTTTTTGATTGTATCTTTAAGGCCTCACTTCATCATGAATTAACTCCTTATATATAAATATGTACGTTTTATGTAACATTACCTGAACTGCTATTACTGCTGTATGTTCATCCAAACCAGTGCTTTGAAATGTCAAACACGCACTCACTTGTCCAAAAATGTCCTGTTTTGTTTTCACTCTTCTCGCTGCTTGTAGCTCAGGTTGGCGCCATATTTTTACAGGTAAATTGTGTACTTTGGTGTATTATAGATGGTAAAGGCTGACTATATTAACAAATTAAATGTTCTCAACTCTTCATAAAAAGGTTCAACTTTCTGCCCTGTTATTACTCGATCTCCTTATGTAAAATCACCTCAATCTCAATGATGTGGACAAAGAAATTGGGACGACAAATAAAACTATTGAATAGAAGTGTTGGCTTTGTAATTCATTTTAGGGTAGATAATTTAGTTAATTCTTTATATTTATTTACTTTGCGTTTTTATAGTATCCCTGTCCGAAAAATACATACTACAAATAATTTGCTTTATGTGTTATTTAGTTGTTGTTACTGTTATGTGTTTTATGTATTCTTTTTTTAAACACACATAACAGATTTAATATTTCTTTTATTTATACCTTTTTTGTCTGCCACATCTGCGCTACTTCCGGTGTAGCTACTTCCGCCTTACGCCTCTCCTCCTCATTCACAGAGATGGTAAGAAAATGCCAATATTGATTTAAATCTGATCATTTGACCTTGATCTAACGCCTGTAATGTTCTTTTAAAATGACTCGTGCTTACATTCTCGTCTTTTCAAATATTAAAATGCGTTTTGATCCGCTAATTTTATTTAGGCTAGCGTTACCTGGCTAACATCGTTAGCATTGGCTTCCTGTCAATGAAAAAAACATTATTCTAAGACCAAAAGCGACAGCGATTTACATGTTATTTCGCTTATACACACACATGTGGCCTTTGATATTGCAGTTGTAATTTCCACAGGATATTGTTTGGAAATGAACTTATTCAGATGAGAGAAATGACCGTAGTCTTCATTAAAACCACGGAAAACGGTATTCTAGTGTAATCTTGTATTCACTTGTAGCTAAAAGAATGTACTTTCTCACATTTTCTGGTACAAGTCCTTAAACCTAAATCTGTATTAATAAAATTTGAACAGCTGCTTCTCTAAAGATAATAGTAGTTTTTTTTTCCTGTTCCTCCTGTCCTAGTTCCTGGTTATAGCATATGCTATGTGACTCAGTTTAACTAAGCTTACTTAATTTGGACATGCTGCAAACATACATATTTAACAGAGAGAATCACTGGTCTGATTAGGTTCTTAGACTGAGCTTATGCCCAGTATGTCAGGTGGTAGAGTTGTAGACGATAAGGCTTCTGTTATCAGTGCTGATTAATAGGTAATGTGAAGTATATTCACAGACCTTGATTTAATAGTGTATTTTACAGTCCCCCAAGGCCTGTCAAGAAATGTACTGTATCAAATTATCATTCAATATATGAAAGATGGAACAATAATTTTTTGGGTCAATATGTATTGTGAGTGTCTTTTCTTTGTGCTTGTGGGGAGTTTTTGTTCTTTTTCTAACTTCGATTAGATTTGGTTGAGGGTTGAATAAATAATTCTATGACTTTTTATTGTAACTACTTCAGTATTTTATTCTGCTTTTTTGTAGCTAATTTTGTAGCTAACTGTGCTGTACGTTTAGAGTAGTTTTGGGAGTAATCCAGCTTTAGGGTTACTGTATCAGTTGTATAAATTTGTTTCAATATTATCTTTTATCGTATTTTCCTCAGCTATATATAGGTCTCCAAAACGTGTTATTAAAACAGGCCTAAGCCTTCCTTTCTGTTTTTTCAGACGGCTACATTGCGCCCGTATCTGAACGCGGTCCGGGCCACGCTGCAGGCTGCTCTGTGCCTGGAGAACTTCTCGTCTCAAGTTGTGGAGCGGCACAACAAGCCTGAGGTGGAGGTCAGGTGAGGATGACTTAGGACGACCTCTTAGGGCTGTTTCATGTTGGAGCCTGTGATCAATATGAGCATTCATGGTCCAGTTTAGGTGTTTGATTTTCAACAAAATGTTGAGAGAGACTTAATCAAAAGCTGCTGACTAATGCTAGGTAGCTTGTGAGTGTAATTTTTGTGAGACTTTTTTAGAGCACAAATCAGCTCCCTCTTGTAGTTCCAACCAAGTTAGCTCTCTCTGGTCAAGTTACATTAAAATATCATATGCACCACTCATCATTCACTCCAAACCCACCATGAGCCACACAAACCTTGAGCCATCACTTCCATTACCCTGATGTTAACAGTGTGTGGACTGTGTGTGCGTTGTACAGGAGCAGTAAAGAGCTGCTGCTTCAGCCTGTCATCATAAGCCGAAATGAGAAGGAGAAGGTTCTAATTGAGGGCTCCATAAACTCTGTGCGAGTGAGCATCGCTGTCAAACAGGTCAGACACAGGACAAGGGAGAGTGTGTCAGACTGATATAGTTTAAACATATTGATATAAATAATGTGAATGTGCCACAGGCCGATGAGATCGAGAAGATCCTGTGCCATAAGTTCATGCGGTTCATGATGATGAGGGCTGAGAACTTCTTCATCTTAAGGAGGAAACCAGTCGAGGTAAATATACACATACACTTTTGGGTTTATTCTGCTGTACTTACTTTTAAACTGAGGGCTCTCAAATATATATATTTCCAAAGATGGAAAAGGTCACAAGGTCATTCTACACTGTACTATCTTGTGGTTTGGGTTAGGGTGTGTCTTGTCTTATCTAATTGTATTATTCCTTGTTGTGTCTTTCATTGCTCAGGGCTATGACATCAGTTTCCTGATCACAAACTTCCACACAGAGCAGATGTACAAACACAAACTGGTGGACTTCGTCATCCACTTCATGGAGGAGATCGACAAAGAGATCAGTGAGATGAAGCTGTCGGTCAATGCCAGGGCCAGGATCGTCGCCGAAGAGTTTCTCAAAAATGTGAGTTTTGTTGTAGTTTATTGTGACAAATGTCTACCATACTGTCTACAAAGGGATATATCAAAGCACGAGGATCATATGAATTGATACCATTTTAAATAGAAATGCAATGGGATTTATAAAGTTGAGAAAATTCAGACAATTTTAGCATGTGGCTGTGGATCAATGACATAATGATTATTGTGTTCTGCTGAAATTATTGTATTATAACACAGCAAGATACAGCTCATTATTCACTCTGCCTCTTTAAATTTGAACTGAATGTCAACAATTATAGGGTGTGACTGTCGGCTCTATTTTTGACTTGGTACGGTCAATATATTAAAAAATATAAATCATTCTTCCAGCTTTATTTTTATCCAAACAATGATGAGTTTATACATGTGATTTCAATTTTTGTTTATTCTAATGTTCTAATGTTATAATCTGTATTTTTTTCCCCTTTCTGTAGTTCTAATTGAAAAAGCCCCAAACCTACATTCCTTTTGCCACGTTGACCGTCGTCTGTGGAGCGCTCACGAAGAAGCCATTCTGAGACAAACTTCAACAAGAACTTTCAAGTTTGACCTTTACCCCAAACCCCTGTGCTCACCAATAACATTCACATTTGTAAATAATAAAAATATCCACATTAGACATTAGTTTTTCTGCCTTACAACACAAGTACTTATCAGGGCAGGTCCTTAAAGATATATTTTACATATTGAGCACAGGGTCACATGTGTTTGTTATCAAATAATTTAAATGTTTTTTAATATATAAGAAACTATAATAAACTTCATTTCATTTTGCAGTGTTAGACTTGAACACAAACCAAAAATGCATGTTTGGAAAACGATTTCGACCCTGCTGTAGATTCAAAAACAAATGCTGTGGACAAAATAAAATCATTATTCTTTGTAACTGAGTTTTGTTTTTTATTCAGTCTTTTTACCGTAGTTATTCTAGGTAAATTGGTTTAATTTTTCATCTTATAGCTCCAAAGGAAATTAGTTCTATCACAAGAACTAATGCAAGTCTAAACAGGACTAAACCATGACTTAACATTGGCAAAAATGTGAATGGACTCAGTAGCCTTGTGAAGATTAAATTGTGTATATATCTAAGCACAACTTTTGTACGTCCAAAATTCTCTTTACAAAGACCTTCTGAGACCAAAATGGCAAAAGGAAAACGAGTAATGGTAAAAATACATTAAATTGATTTGAAAACAAAAAGTGGACAACTACCATGCATGTGTGGTTCTTAATGGGCCCATATTGCGCTCTTTTCTGATCTACTTTATAATGTTTCCTCATCACAAACATATCTGGAGTTGTTTTATTTCATTCACATGTTTAACAAATAAATCTTGCGTATTTGGGCTGAGTTCTCTCTAACTGAAAACACTGTTCCATGTTGTGAAGCGCTTCACTGTGTTTTAATCTCCCTACACCTTCACTAATCATTTTGGTAATTTGAGCCCTGGACTTACCTTTTACCTTTAGTTCAGTAGAGATTGGCAACTGTTAACTTCCAAGTCTTCCACTATATGACACCACAAGATGGAACAAAGCATTTTGAGCTTTGGAGATGTGGGCAAATAGTAAAGGATTACTTAGACATGTGAACTAAACAAAACACAACTCTGCGTATGTTTTTGATGAGGTAATGAGATTCTAACATGGCTTAAAGCTCCTAAGAATCAATTTTGGTTAATATGGGATTTTTAAGGCATACTATTTTGGATTTTTTTATTGCCATTGAATGAAGAAAACTTGAATTACATTTACTCCCTCTGCTGTGCACAGTCAGAAGGAAGACAGCATTGTGATGTTCATTGCTTTTATAGCCATAAAACCCCAAACCTCTGTGGTGTATTTGAGCTCTATTCATATGTATGCAGTGTACACACATTGCACAGATTCATATAAAGCAAAATATAAATTATAATGGCAATGTTTGTGTAAATAAAACATAAACAGTGTTGGGAGGGTTACTTTTAAAATGTTTTCCCCTACAGATTACAGATTACATACCCCAAAATGTAGTTTGTAACGTAATCCATTAAATTGCTTAAAGTGAGTAACGTAATCTGAATACTTTGGATTATTTGATATTGTCATGCTTTTTATAACTACATGAATGTACCAACCACATCCTGAAAATTCATGTGCATTCTCTTCAAATTGTCTGCTGAGCCCAAGTCTCCATGAACAGACTTTTGTTTACTGTAGAGAAGCAAAGACTAGGAAATCTTCACATGAGATGTTTTGTCTGATAAAAGAAAATAAAAAGCCCAGTCTTTCCTTAACCATATTAAACATATTATTGATAGAAAAATGCTTTCTATTTGAGATCACTGCTGCCCTAAATTATAACCACCTACTGTTAGTATCATATTGTTAAGTCCTGGTTCAAGTCCTGGTTTTGCCAAAAATGTGAAAACAGGAAAATTCCGCCATGTAATCCATTTATTTCAACAAAGTAACTGTAATCCAATTACCACTCCTGGAAACAGTAACTGTAACTGAATACAGTTATTCATAGTTTGTACTCTGATTGCTGGTACATGTATTCATTACTCCCCAACACTGAACATAAAACATAAAAAATAAAACATAGATGCATATTTTCAATGAATAATGATTTAATGCCACAGTAACATGTCAAAAATTGTTAATATATTTGTATTATTTTTACAGTACAATAATTACAGTGGGTCACAGTACATAAGCAGAAGAATTGCTTTATCAACATCATACCTGCAAAACCACAAGTCCTCAAGTACACTTCAATTAAGCCATTTTTATATATTTTTTTTCTCTGTTGTATAAAGGCTTTTATTTTGATAAGACTTGTTTTTTTTTTCTCTTTTACTTCACTCAACAGCAAACGTAAGACATTAGCAGAAGCACCTTGGTAAACAATACAAAAAACATTAGAAAAAGGTGCAAATTAAAAGTTACATTACATTATTCACACTTATAAAAAAAAATAATGTTTCTTCACAGATATGGAGGCTGCAGTGATGGACAAGTGAGAGGAAAGTGCTGAAGCGGAGTTACGTACATCAAATAGTACATCTTTGTGTGTCCGGAGGTTGTAAATGGAGGTCTAGACAAGAGGTCTGTGGTGTGTTTTTCTTTTTTATAATAACATTATTATTAAAAGTCAGTGGCAGGAGTGTGGTTAAGGTGGAGGAAGTAGATCAGAAATGTGGTGGGACAGTCTGAAGAGCATCCTCTGTGCTGCGCTGCATCGTCACATTCTGGAATTTAAATAAAAGAATAATGATTAGTATGAAACATGTAAAAAAACAAATATAATAACTATACCTAATAATTACAATTAACAAAGCATAATCTAAAACTTATGGGCTAACCCTACTACTAAAGGTTAACTAAAAGGCCCAAATATGCCATTTTCTGATCTATGTTATAATGTTGTTTCCTCATCACAAACATACCAGGAATTGTGTTTTGTTTCATTCACACAAATCCTGCATAGATTTTCTCTACAGAAAACACTCCAGTCCACCTTGTGATGTCATGTGGTAATACAGGAAGTGCTCCACTGTGTGTTAGGCTACATACGCCTTCACTAGAATCATTTGGATAATTTCAGCCCTGGAATTGCCAATCTCTACTGAACTAAATGTAATAGACAGCTGTTATTTTGAAAACTATCACTTAATGAGATCATAAGGTGGAACAGAGCATTGAGAGTTTTGGAGACATAGACAGACTAATAATAAAGGATTATTCAAACATGTATGAATGAAACAAAACAAAACTCTGGGTATGTTTTTGATGAGGTAACAACATTCTAACATGGCTTAAAGCTCACAAGAGTTAATTTCACGTAACAAAGGACCTTTAAAGGGTTTAGGGTTAGAAGTTTGAATATGAAGTAATTACAAAGCCTGAACCATTCTTAATAAACTATTTGTTCATTAAGACTTAAGTCTTTGTTCATGATTCATTAAGACTAATGAAAGTGTTACTATAAGGTGTAACAGAAAGTAGAGAAGATGTAAATTTTTTAAACGTGCTGTGTGAGTAGAGTAGATAAAATAGATGGCAAAAGTATTGTGAGAATATTTGTGATGCAATTTGTTTAAAATCAAGATTCAATCATCGATGCATAGTGAAAATTATAGCAAACATCAACTTTTAAGAAGAGACTGAAATGTGAACTGCAAACTAACAAGAATTCTATGCATTTTAGAAAACAGGATAAACAGGTTTTATCCATAATAAGATCCCATGGAGACACATGAAACCTAGGTCTCTGCAGTGGACATTATCTGCTGCTATTTGCCAGTTGACCTTTCAAATGACAATTAATCTACATCAGTCCTATTGACTGCATTTAACTTAAAACATTAGGGCTGGGACGAGACACAATTTTTACAAGAGGAGACACACCATGAGATCAGGTCCATGAGAATGAGACAAGATGAGATTTTGACATGATTTGTAATAAAAACGTCGTGCAATACATTTCACAATTTTGGGCTCACCATTTTTATTTATTTTATACTAGAGCAGTCAACAGCTTCCAAATTGTAAAACAAACTGTAAAACTCACCAGCTCTTAACTATTTTTTTTTTATCAAAGCCAAAGATAAATTCAGAGGAAAAAAATCTCACAAGATCATTTTTCTCACATGTGCACAATATTGTAGTGATTTTGTCTCATAAGATCATATTTATATTTATACTTAATGTGTCTGGTACATACCGCTGGTCTGTCTCTCTGAGTGTTCACTGAATCCACGCCCAAATAAATGGACTCCACTTTACAACCTGGAAAAAATAAAAATAAATTCATATCAGATTATAACATTATATAGATACAGCCTATCAGTGAACTTTAGGATTTTCATCTGCTGTGGATAGGTTCTATTTAATTGCTTATATGACATAATCAGTCAGAAATGTTTTAAAAGCTATAAAATATTCCAAGATAACTGTGCTTGTGATGTATGAATGTATTTATGTATTTGAAAACAGGGTGAGCAAACATGTCTTAGCTCAAGCAATCTTTCTTGAAATAAAAAGAAATGTATTGAACCAAATCTGAAACCGCTCGAGTCCAGTTAAAGAATCTAGGTCCATCAAGTAAATATAAAATAATAATAATAAAAATAATTTCAGCAAACTCACCGTAAGCTACAGGCGTCAGTTTGAGAACAGTGTGCAAAGGGCATTTAAGATAAGGCAGCTCATCTGTGGAAAGAGAGGAAATATTTTAGGAACTGGTAAATGTATTTATTTGAATATATACTTAAAAGCCAAACAAAAAAAAATCTACATAAAACATAATTCTACTCACCTGCGGTTTTGTCGAGGAAGTACGCGAGTAGACACCTCATGACGGCCTGGTGACAAATGACCAGAACGTTCTCCTGTCTCTCCAGCTCCATGATCACAGGCTCCAGTCTCTGTACCAGGTCCTCATACGACTAACACGAAAACACAACAGAACAACAGATGACAGTCAGATTACAATATTAGCTGGAGAGAGATGACTGAATAATAAGAGTCCATGTATTCACCTCTCCTTTGGGATATCTGTAGCGGTATTTGTCCTGATCTCTCATGGCAAACTCCAATGGAAAGTGCTCCTGGATCTCCTCGTACATCATCTCCTCACACACACCCTAAAACCACACAAAGGCTCAGGTTTAGATGGGAAAAATATTTACATGAAAAAAAAAAGACACTTTTTCCTAATCTATTGGTCAAAGTAAGAAGTCATCCAAAACCAACATTAAGCTAAATTTATAGTATTGTTCAAACACCATTTTCAATTGGATTAGATTTTTTTCTTATGACCAGACAGACTACTGATGACTGCCATTTAACTGCCAAAAATTTTGAAATTTCCTCATCAAAATCTGAACTCTGCTCCAAAACACTCTCACGCTTTCACTGACACAGAATTGGCTCTCGAGTAACAAGACAAGACCCACACTGATGATTTTAATTATTATATCTTGATTTCAAATGTAATCAATTGCACTGCCCCATCACATAGTATTTCATTTTTTGTAATGTTATTATTACATTAGCAGAAATTTTGATCAGTATTTTTGCAGATATAGATGTACAGCCCTAATAAATCTAGTGTGTATTTCTTATGTAAAACTGTTCGTACCGCGTCGATCTCATTGAGGGCCTTCCACTGCTCGTAGGGCACTCCCAAACACTCTGCTGTCTGGATGGTCCTCTTCATCTGACTGGTCCAAACCTTCAGGTCCTTAATGTCCTGTTCCTGGATGAACTTCCTGAGATGCATTGCATACTGGGAAAAAAAACAACAAGAAATATTTGTTAAATTGTTTTGAAAAAATAGTTACACACATACACAGTTACTAGTGGTAAAACAGCAGCAGCTGTTAGTAGTAGTTGTATGGCCTGTGTCTCCTCAAGTACTAAAAATTGTGGTAGAAATACAGGCATTTATTTGGTAACATTAACTGTAGTGGTAACTTCTGTACATGCCTTTGTTCCTTTTGGAGCAAGCTTTATTCCACTATTCACTCATGTATAAGTATTTCAAGTACTAAGTATTAGAAACAGTAGAAGTAGTCTGTCCAACTTATTGTGACTGTTGGACATTTTAAAGTAGTACTAGTAGTATGTTTACTCCACACAGCTCCTTTCATTGACAGACAGCCTATAGTGCCCTTATGCACTTACACACACTTTCACACTACTACTCCCACAGTAGTAGTAATAATAGTGGCGGTGGTAGTTGTAATAGTATAGTAGTATAGTAGTAATAGTAGTAGTAGTTGAAGTAGTACCTCTTTGCCCCTGTCAGAGAGCCCTGAGTCTCCCCCGATACGTCCCTTGATGTTGAGGTCGCTCTCTCCATGGCGACTCAAGTAGATGGAGCGTGGGGTGATGTGGATGTTCATCAGATAATACACGATCCGGCTCTGGATGTGATCCAGGACACGGTTTACAAGGTACCGCCGGCCCACGTCGATCACCTTTATGTACGACAGGTCCCTGACGACAAGAGAGGAACTGTTCAATCATTTGTAAAAGGTTTACTTTACTTTTTTAATGATCACTTCTAAGGATCACTGCAATGGGCATAAAAATGTTTTTTTTTTACATTTTATATATATATATATTTTTACATCTTTGAAAGTTTTTTTCTGTCCACACTGCACCACTTAAAGAGCCCATATTATGAGGCATTATTTATCTGGGATAAAATGTTGTTTCCTTATCACAAACACACCTGGAGTTGTGTTTTATCATATCAACATATTTAAACCCTGCATATTTAGTTCACTCTCTCAACTCTCTCAAACTCCACCTTATGATGTCATATGGTAATACAAGAACTGCTCCACAATGCTTTACACCTTCAATAGAATCATTTGGATGATTTCAGCCTTGGAATGGCTAGTCTCTGTTGAACCAAAGGTAAAAGTAGCTGTTAACTTGAAAACTATCACTTCATGACATCACAAGGTAGAACAGAGCATTTCGAGCTTTGGGGATGTAGACAGATGAATAACGAGTTACACAA